AAAAATACTGGCTTATAGACTGTCTCTGAGAGGTACCACAAATAGACTGGCTTACAGACTGTCTCTGAGAGGTACCACAAATAGACTGGCTTACAGACTGTCTCTGAGAGGTACCACAGACAGAGATGCCCTCCCCAGCTAAGCCAGAACTCCAGCTGTGTCTCCAAACAATGCCAGCTATTCATAACCCCCCCAAAAATGCCCAGACTCTTTAAAATGGCTGTTTAACTGCTGTTTTCATGACACACTCACATTTCTGCTGGAAATTAACAAGGCTCCCTCTAAATTGGGTCTCTATGGATGGCATTAAAAGGTAATGACCTCAGAATATGGTTTTACTGAAACTGCAGCTGATCTTAAATCACATGAGGCACTGAGCGGCATGTCAAGTTTTCCTATGATTGTGTCTCAGCTTCTCAGCATCAGTCAGGCTGGAAAAGTCTGTGCTGCCAAGTCAAACAGGCACAGTGATAACAGCATATAACAGTCACATCAGTGTCAGTCGCGCCCAGTCTTAACCCTGTGCAGTGCGTGTCTCACCAAAAACTACTTCTGCCTGCATTGCTTTTTCAGTATCACTTTTCTGTTCCTCTCAGGTTCTTTGTCAATAAAAACCCAACCCTTTAGTCTCTCCTTCCTGACAGAAAAATAACAGATTCTCTGAAATTGAAGAATATGGAAGACCTAATTAATGGATGACAGAGCAAGGTGGACATGGCATCATGATGACTACCACCTGTGCACACACAGAATTCCAAATATAGAAGCCTGGCCCCAAAAATTGTAGGGGTTCATCTCCACACTGGCAAGGTTCCATCAAAGGAGAAGGGAACCCGCTGGTTCTGCAACTGCTCTGGGGCAGTGGTCTTCAGGAGATCATGGAGGTGCATGAGCTCCTTGCTCAGGAATGTGTGAACTCACTGAGCAACAGCAGTAGGCCCCTCGCCATCTTCAGACACTGACACGCCTCCTCCACTGAGATTTCTGAGATATTTTAAGCGATAACCTCACTTTCCACTTTCCTACCGCCAAACGCTTCCAAAAAATTAAATACCCTTGCCCTCCTTTCCAAGCGGGCGGTGAGCAGACGCCCATGCAGGCGAGGGGTCAGCCGACATGGGGGACTGGCACGCGGCCCAGCTAGGCTGGGCGTGTGGAGCGCTGTCTCTCACTGGCGCGACGTCTCGGAGGTCGGGTGAGAAACAGCCACTGGCCAGGGCATGGTGTCCTTGTGGCTGCATCCCAAAGGCGTGATAAAGCCACAGCGAGCAGCCTGACCCTCCCTGCACCTGTCCTGACAGCTGGCGCGGGGGCGAGCTGGCTGCCTGGTGTCCCCCACCCCCACAGAAACCAACCCCTATCAAGAGCTGGTCCTTCTCTATCTATCTATCTATCTATCTATCTATCTATCATCTATCTATCTATCTAATCATCTATCTATCTGTCTATCCATCCATCCCTTCTATCTACCCAACTTCCTCCCTTCCTTAAGAAGATGGCGAGGGCTGAAGCGCAGACACGCCCACTCTCCCAAGCTGGCTTGCTCACTGCGCTGACTCACTGCATCACACCTGCACAGGTGCGAGGAAGCAGCCCCGCCCTGAACTGCCGTGAACACAGCTTCACTTTTCTGGGAACCTACTTTAAATACAAATGCTCGGGTTAAATGGGCGATAAGGACTGAGGAAGGCCTCCTATTTGGCACTGTTAAGCGCTGACCAATCACGGCTGAGCGTGAGCGGTCGGTTTTCCAGGCGGAGTGTAGCGGTACGGTGATGTGGCCGTCGATGTGGAGGTAAGTGTGCAAATCACAGCCGGGGACAAGCAGCCTCAGGCAGGACAGGGTAAGGCAGGCCGTTGATGAGGGCCGCCACCATCAATCTCCACTCCCAACTTAGAGGCCCCAAAGGGCCACGATGCGCCGTCTCTGTGATGCACAGCCCGCTTGAGGAGGAATGGAAAACAGCTGCATGCAGAGGCGGGCGACTCAGAGCTCCTGTCCTGCTGGGGTGCCGAACACTTGTTTTGCTTTTTTTTTTTGCCCTCACAAGGAAGACATCACCTCGGTCGCCATGGTTACACTGGCGCTCGGAAACGCCAGTGGCGACACTCGCAGGTTCTGTTATGCCGTTGCTAAGGAAGAATAACAGCATAGATTTGGCACGGCGAAAAACAGTCGTAAAAACGATCCCGTGGGTTTCTAAAGGGTGCAGGCTGCTGATGTATAACACTCAACTCAGTGTGTGTGTGTGTGTGTGTGTGTGTGCGAGAGTCATGTATATACTACATTGTGGGGACCAAATGTCCCCACAGTGTGATAAAAACCTGTTATTGTGACATTGTTGGGACCTATTTTTTGGTCCCCATAAGGGGAAACTCAACTTGATAATAATCTGTGATTAGAAACAAAAAAAAATGAAAATGCTACATGTCTTTTGTATTTTGTTTGGTTACTTATGGTTTAGGTTAGGACTGGTAGGGTTAAGGTCATCAGAGCTGGAATTTCAGTTTTGCCTATAGAAATGAATGGTCAGTCCCCACAAAGATATGAATACAAACATGTGCATGGGCGTGTGTGTGTGTGTGTGTGTGAGGGGCTGTGTCTGCATATGTCACTATCTGAGTAACACGTTCCTTTTTCCTACATGGCCATAAGCCATACCATTTGTTTCTAGAGTAACATATTTATCTAATATATTCTTTTAACTTTGTAAACTAGCCTTGAAGTCCTTTCACGGTCTATCCAATAAATATCATAGTTACTTCCAGTTGGATTAAACAACACATTTTTATGATTTTATAACAGAGCTCCCATTTTGTGAAGTAAACATCTTAAAGTAGCATTACCAAAATGTTAATTTTTCATAGTTAGGCTGAGTACTTAAGTAACAGCTTTGGGTTCCTTCAGTATTATTGTAGTATTACTGCATCCAACACTTTAACGTCTGGCGTGAGAATCTACTTTTCAGCCCACTGGAAATGTAGGAGTCCATTATATACGACAAACACATATATAATCAGAAACAGCGGTTAGAAATTTAATCCCGATTAATAAACAGTGAACTGACACAAAACACGCAGTTATACAAAAAAAACGTTTTCCAGTAAAAGAAATACTGTGCGCATAAAAATACATGGTTTCTTCAAGCTGTAGTTAAAATAAATGATAAAAAAACATGTACAGACCATGTATTCTACAGAAAAATATACGAATAACGACTTTTTTAGATTTGTAAAAACTTTTTAGTTAACTAGTTCTCTATAAAATCAAAAATAGTTTGAAAAAACAGGCTTTAGAACCATTTCGTAATGTTTTTCCTGATCTTATCTTCGTAAGTTTGTCGTTTAAAAGAGCTTGTATTTACAAAGATATGCGGACGGGGAGCGCTTCTGTGCGCCGTTACATATTCAGGGTTAAAAAGAGGATCAGGGCTCCGCTAAAAGGCGCGCACAGGTGAGCGGAGCGCAGGCTGAAACACACAAGCTTCATGCATAAAACACGTAGATTTTCATAGAAGCGTAAAAGTAAAACATCATTTGGAAAGTTGACCATTTTCCACGTCTGCTATCTAAGATCGATCTATTTCATTATGAATTGCCCGTTCTACATTATGCATTATTAATAAACTTTAACGTAATTCAACACACCGTCGGCGGTTTTCATTGCAATCCTGGAGGATATAACATCGGCTTACTTCTGCTGCCTTTACTGAATCCCCGAGGTGCCACTGTCATTTAAGCGTCTAACTCACCTGATTTCCCGACTTCCAGCGGATGGCAGAGACAGACTTGCCTGCCCGGTCAGCGGCTGCGCTTCGTTCTTTGGAAACCTGGCGCAACGTCAGCGCTGGGCGTTTAAAACCAGAGCGAGAGAGAAAAAAAGCCTGACAGGATATGATCAAAAAGCCACAGTAGTCATATCAACAATGATCTCAACCGGGAATTAACTAAATATGGCCATCGTTAAAGAAGGAAATAAGATTTCCCTTACTTTTTACATTATTCTTTTCTGAAACCGCTAAAATGCAACTTATTTGCAGTAGATTTCGATGTATGTTATTTACAGCAATGTAAAGCCCCATGCATGCTAGTGATTTAGACTGACAGAAGTTTCCCCGGAGGTATTCACCGGCCCTATAAGGAGCGCGAAGTAGATTACCTCAACATTTCATGCAGATGAATCGATCACACACAAAACTCACTTAAAAGTTCATGCTGGTTCCAGGAACCGGGTCATTGATCTCTCTTAAACGAGCACAAATTGCATGTGGGTCATTATCACAAGTCATCAAAACCAGACTGCGGACATTATTCCAAATTATTAGTAGTTTCGTCTGTATGTTTTATAATTAATAGAAATATTTCGACGCAAACCGTTATCCAGATGCTGGCCCACCAAGTTATAACAGTGAGTTGCAGATAGCGTGTGTGTGTGTGTATATATATATATATATATATAGCGTAAAGCCACCTAGGGTGTCAACTCATGGTGAATTAGGGTGATGACTTACCAAGTGATGCTGTGGGTCCTGAGGCTAAACTAGCAGAGAAACATTGCGGGCAACTTAGGCGTCCGCCCAGGGCGCCCACTTCTGAGGGGGTGCCGACTTGCCACCCGATTTCACCCTCGGACGGGGGCATCGGCACTGATGCTAGTCTATAGGGCGCCACATCAGCTAAGGCCAATACTGCGCACTCACAATGACGCTGGAATATTATAAAAAAAGATTTTATAGTCTGTATATTCAGCATAGAAATTAAATTCTATTAACATTTTGTGTTCATAATGTTCTCCCATTAGGGTATCAATGTTAATGAAGTTAAAGTTCAAAGTATCAAAGAAATAATAGTGCTAAATAGTTACTATTTCAAAACACCTGTTTCGTAGGATTTAGTATTAGTATTAATTGTAGTAGTAGTAATAATTTATTTAAGTTTCATTATATGAAAATTGTTATATATTATTTATTGTGGGGCACCAGCAGTGAGGCTCACCTGTGCACACGGATCAGGACGGGCCTTGTTCTGAATGATCAAACCGCCTGTTAAGGCATTGGCTTTTTGTTACTGGTCAAGCAATCATTTTTTATCATTAACAACACTCTATATTTAATATCATGCACATCTTAACTATCAAAATACACAGAGAGGCAAGTTAATATCCTGATGTTATCAGATGGGACATGTTTTAATTTGGGAAGCTCTCTAAGAGGCCTCACACCACCGTCCGCATCACAGCACTGTAAGTGAGAGTAAACTTTGGAGCTTCCCATAAAAGTGAATATAACGTGTGTCCATGATCCCAGCAAACAGGCATTCTTATGGCCAGTTATGTCCTTATTAGGAGCAGGAGTGGGTCACCTGATCAGTCCCGCTGGAGGGGATCCGGCTAACCAGGAGCATATGTGAAAAACAGCACCTTGGCCATGTAGATCCCTCGACGGAATAAATAAAGGACACATGTCAAGCCTGCTGGTGCTGAGGAAAGGCGCCCTGATTTAGACGTGAGAATTCTTCCCTCAAACTTTGGAACGGCCTGACAAATGATCATGGCGATACGGGTTCATGCGTAGCAGCCTGTCAGCTTGAGTGATGGGGCTGCCTGCCGGAGAGAGCGAGCTGGAAAAAGATCAGCGTCCGTCTGTCCCAGGAGACGCGGCCGCTGGAGCCTGGCCGTGCTGACGGAGCCGCCGCCACAGCGGATAAGCCTGAGGGCCTTCCAGGCAGCGGAAGCGGTCTCTCTCACGGGCGGGGCGGCCGTCTGACCCAAATCCAGGACGTCTCTCTCATGCCATTAGGGTGAAATAACAACTCGAAGGAACAGAAGGTGGAATAAGTGTAAAAGGGGGAGTCTGAGTAAACACGGGGTCTCTTTATTGATCATTCCACACACACAGACAGGCAAAGAGGTTATACACAATGGTGTAAACAGCAACAGTACGGAACGGACACGACCGACCTGGGAGTCCGACAATCACACCGGGAGACATCGACACACATCTTCAGTAGACTTTCCAAACACGTACTCAACACTCTTTATTAATATTTAGTGACAGAGTCCACTTTTCGGTGTGCAAGCCAATCAAAGCAATGTCTTCTCAAAAGTGAGAGCGCTGACCTTCATAGTTCTTTGAAAAGGAGACGGCACTAATTGCTCAATGCACTGAAATGGTCGTGACCTCAGAGCTGCACTGCGTGGCCTTATGGATGCCAGACGCGTGGCTACCAAGAGGACGAAGACGAATGGCCACGTTCAAACAGGACTGGCATCGGGGGGGGTGATGAAGGGACGTTCCAGGGGCCACGACGTCACACTGCCACTCAGAGCATCACCAGCACCAGGTCTGTGAGCCTCTCAGTCCTCGGAGCCGCTTCAGACAGATACAGCCAACATCCAACTCGATGACCAAATAAAGTACAAGAAAGTGCAAACATTCTATTTTAATGCTTTCCCACTACATCAGTATCCCCAGTGAAGGGAAGATACCAGAAGGGTGACATCTGGACTCGTGCATTTCAAAAATAAAAAAAGAAGAGAGAAATGCTCTCCCCTGGCAGGAGACGGTGGGATATTGGTTCCAAATCGCTCCCGACGGACAGACAGATGGATGGACTGTGGGGGGTGGGGGCTGCTGATAAACAGGCTTCCTGCCATAGACACCGAGTTCCACTGGACTTCCCGTTCCACACCGCACTGCCAGCGGCTCGTCAACAAACAATGAGCTGAGTTAAGGAGGG